AAAGAGAGCCAGGTGGAGTCTCATCTCACCAAGCAGCTGTGAGAGATACCCCTCAACCCAACCCACAGCTGCTCCAAGGACACTGGAGACCATTAGGCAAGGGATGGGGAGGCAGGAAGTGCCTGCCTCCTAGGGAGCATTTGGCCAAATGTCAAGTTTAGTAGCCAGCTATATTTAGGCCCTGGCCCCGTTGGCATGGTTACCACAGGCTAGGCAGGCGCAGTTGGGGCCCGAAGACCCTCTGCTCGGTTTCCCAAATGGGCTTTTCTCAGTAACACCAGCACCTCCCCACCCTGGGCTCAGTCTCTCACCGAATTCCTGACCCGTCCCTGGACATTCGGGGTTGACACTCACATGCAGGACCAGGGTGCTCCTGGTCACTCGGTCAATGGGCTTGTAGAGCAGAGCTGTTGGGGAGGGCAGGAAGGAGACAGGACAAATGAAATATGGGAGCAGCTCGAAACCTTAGGGACCAGCCTCACTCCTCCACACGGACACCCACTTGCGAGACACCCATCCACAAGCGGGTTCCACAGCAACCTGCACCCCCATTCTCACCCCAGGGCAGGCCAGACAACACGAACAGGCACACGTGCAGTCCTGGCAGCCTGGGCGCCCTCCCACCTGCCCCCTTAACTTGTCTCCCACCAGACATGATTTCTTCGAGGACCGTCCCCTGGCCTGACCAGGCTCAGAGCTAATGCAGATGCTCCTCTGTACCCCTCACCCTGAATCACACAGCTACACCTAGCCTTACCCTATAGAGCTCCAGCACATTCCAGGTCACATCTGGAACCCCAGAATGTGGCAAGGAGATACACTGTTTTTCCAGGGAAGGCTGCTCCCCGTTTTTGATCACTCTCATACTTTGCTGTTCCAAGGCCTGGCACCAACACCTGGGAATGGTGGGCTTCAATGTGACCCACATAGTCAGCCTTGTCTCCATAAGACCCCTCTCCACAACCACAAAACCTCAGACAAAATAGGACAGGAGGAGGAGGGGAGGCCAGCTCTCCACAGAAAGGCTCTGCTTTCAAACAAGTGAGAACCGAAGGGGCAAAGATTTCCTGAAAAAATTCAGGTGGGGCCTCTGGGAGCCCTGAAGAGGCTGGGAAAATGCAAGCTCAGCAGGGCCTCCATTCACCACACCCCTTGGTGACCAGGACACCAAATGAGGATTGCTGGCATTCAGCAGGGACAGTTGGGAGTGGCAGCTGGCCGACCAACACTTCCAAACAAAGCTGCTGATAAGCAGCTGTGCCCTGCCTCTCCCAACATGGGTGGGTCAGCCTCAGTCTTGCACCTGGACGCCTCTGCCCATGGGGTCGTGACCTCTCCCTTCCTGCCATAGGAGCAATAAGAGGCAGGAGCAATAAGAGGTCTGAGAGGAGGCCCCTAGATAGGGTGTCCCATTGGACCAGGTTGTGACAGGTCTCAGAACTGACACTCATCCCTAGTCAGCCCCAAACCCAAAAGTCCCCCGATGCCCTAGATATAAATACTCCATGCAATGCTAAGCAGACCCTTTGGGGACAATCTGCTGGCTGTGGAGAAGACAGTCTCAGTGGTGTGCCATGAGCCTTATCTGCAGTCTTTGCTTGGCTGCCCATTAAAATCACTGGGGAAGCTCTTAAAAGATACAGCTGCCTGCTCCCCTCTTTTCACCCCATCAGCTAAATCCCAGCCTCTGCCTGGTAGAACCTGGGTATCAGCATTTTTAAAAAGCTCCTTTGCTGATTCTGATATGTAGGCACGATCGAAAACCATTGCTTTATGCAAACATACCTCCTATGACTTATATGTGGCCCTCTCTTCATTTAGCAATTTCTAGAGCTACATACGGGAGCCAGAAAGCACAGGACCAGGCTTGGGGTCTCCTGGGACAGTGATGGTAGAGCCCAGTTATCGGCCAGGGGGAACCCAGTTCTGAGGCTTTTTAAGGTATCCACCTATGGCTTAGCTCATCTTAGCGGGGAAAGCACACCCCGAGGACCCCAGAGACCCAAGAGGAGGTGCGAGTTCAGTAGACACCTGCCAGGGTGGGTCCTCGAGTTCCAGCTTGGGGAAAGCTGATACTGCAGTGTCAGCTCTCTCTGTCCCTCTCTTGGGTCCCAGGAGGAAGAGGTTTCTGACTAAGCTCAGAGATTTTCTCAAATGGTGGGGTTGGGTTTCAGAGGGGTTATTAATATGCCTGCAGTCACCTCGAGAGTCTCCCTGATTGGGGCTGTGGAATGAGCCCTGTGCCTCAGCCCCAGGTTGCGGGAGGGCAGCTGGGAGAAAGTGAGAGGAGAGGGAAGTGCAGGGAGCAGGCCCTGGGGACACATTCAGATATGGAAGGGACCAGGGGAGAAAGAGCGACCCCATGTTTGTGCTCCCCATTGCCCCTGCATGCCTGTTTCCCCTGAGAACACAGGGTGAAGAGCCCGCCCTTCCCACTTCACCTGTTCCATGTCTCCAGCAGGCCGACCTGCTTCCTGCCCCCGCTTCTCCCACTCTCTTCACTCCTCACCATGCCGTTCCTGTTCCCGGGATAGACATCGTTCACCAAGTCGCAATGCTCGTCTCTCCCCCTCCTCCAGGAAGACTTCCCTGACCAGGACTTTTACAAACAATACCCACAGTGCCTAAAAGTCAGACTACTTACACGAGCAAGCTGGCCTCTCTCTAGTTTGTTGGGCACTTACTCTGTGTCCAATAGCACTGTTTTACCTGCGTTATTTCCTTCGATTAAAATGGAAAGCAATTATAACTAGCCCCATTTCACAGATGAAGAAACTTCTCTAAGATACAGAAAAATTATGTAACTTGCTCACAATCAAAAAGCTATAAGTGGTAGCTGGGTTCTGAATTTAGGTCTACCCATGCTTTGTTAAAAATTTTATTTTGATTCCACAGAGAGGGCAACACCTACAAAAGCTCGGTGACCCTCAGGAGGACTCTTGGAAAGATTCACCAGGAAGGAGTGGGCGAGCTGTCCAGGGGAGCCCCTTCCTTAGGGGCCTGGGTCACACATGACTTCCCTTCACGTCCCCCACAGCATGGAGCTGTGCAGAGGGGGCGCTGAGCAAATAACCATTAAGGCAGCCAACTCCAGAGTGAGCCCCAAGTTGTACAGTCTCCATGGGACCCCCAGAACATCCCTTGGAGAGGCTGAGAAGATTCTGAACAGTGTAGTAAGCAAGGGCTCATTCGCCCCCCATTTCCCACTTCGAAGCTGACTTCAAAGACAGCATTCATTGTAGGGACCAAAGAAACTCTGAAATCCAGGTCCCAGGCCTGTTTCACTAAGACTAAACTTCCTTTTGGGAAGGGAAGAGGAAGCAAAGGGCTCACCCCCTCCTTTTCAGGGAGGCAGAGTTGAGACCTGACCAGCTCCTAGTCCAGACCAAAACAGCGTTTCCCCTCTGATCTTCAAACAGCCTATTTCAAGTCCAGCTCTCTCCTGTTGACTTCAGCCTGTCCAGAATCTAAACTGAGGGGCAAGGGCAGCTTCTTCCCAGGGACTACAGCTGTCCTGCTGGGGCGGCTAGAGAGAAGCTGCCTCAGGAGTTACCTCTGTCACAAGTAGTCTTGGACACAGGACAGCCTGAGAAGGTGAGGGGACAACAGTGGCCTCTGGGAAAGAGCCCAGAAAACCCCATCATCTCTTCTCCAGCAAACTGCCACCCCCTTCCATTCAGCCTTTGACAAGGAGCTCCAGGTTACCACGGAGATGTGAAAGCCAAGTGACTCGGAAGGGTGCAGAGACAAAATGCCTAGTGGGAAGGAAGAGACAGGGCCAGCTGCCTGCTACTCCAACACACAGGGGCCAGAGGCAACGCTTGACCCCCACACCCCTGCCAAAGGCAGCTTGGGTCATCCTTAAGGCACTTCTTGCCTCAGAGAGCAGGGCCCACCGGCTTTTAGACACCTCCCTGCCTGGCCTGCTTCAGCCTCCTTCAAGCAAGAGCTTAGCTGACAGCATGTGCCTGTCCAAGGACCCTATTGCTGAGGGAGCTGCAAAGGGGATGCTTCCATTGAATGGTGGGTGTGTGACCTTCACAAAGCAGCAGACTGCCACGCCCCCTCTCCTCCCAGCATTCTGCGCTGACCTTATGCGTGAAGTGCCAAGACCCCAGCTCAAGGGTCTGCAGTAGCTAGAAACGAACCCCCTCAGAGCAACCCAGTTGCTTCCTGCTCTCCCAACCGCATCCAGTTCTCCCACCACTGCAGTTTTGAGAGGAGAGAATATCTCAAAGCAACATGTGCACTCCAAGCACACAATACCCTGGCCACTCAATCTCCCCCGTCTCTCTGGAAACAAAGAAACTCCCAACTTCTCCCTCCAGCCGGGGCTGGCACCCTCCCTGTCCAAGGCACTGCTGTCCAGACCGTCCGTCTCTCTCTGACTGGCCCCACTGGCCCCACTGACCCGGCTCCAGCCCCGGGTGTGCTGCTGCACACCTGCAGGTACAGCCTTCTCACTTTATGTCCTTACAGCCTCTCCAGGAAGTTGCCCACAGCCGCTCAAGCTGAGCCATCAATTCCAAATAGATCCTTGGTGGGTACCTAGACCCTTCTAGCCTAGTCCTTCCATTTCTAAGGCACTCTGCCCCAAGTAGCCCCCCAGACTTCAACCTCAGGCTGGAAGCTGGCCAGAACAGGGGTACATACAGCTCTAGTCTAGCCACTTGTGCCCAGCCCCCCTTGCTGTTCCCTAAACCCTGACGATCACATTTAAGCCCATTCCAGCCAGCCCCCAGAGGTGGAAAGACACACCACCTCCCGTCAGAGGGATCTGGGTTACCATAGGTGCAGTTACAGCAGAAGCGAATGATGAGGAGAATTTCCATGGCAGCCTCTGTCCCCGTGGCAGGAGCGAGCGGCCATCGCTCCCTGGCTCCCATCAGCAGCCCGGCCACTAAGCCACCTTGCCCGCTGCTGCTGCACAGCCTCCAGAATCAAGCAGCCGCTTCTGAGTGCTCCTCTAGCAATGGGGAGGGGGAAGAGGGGGAGCGAGGGGAGGGGAGGCGCTCGTGGAGAAGCGGGAGGAGGGGGAAGGAGTGGGAAGGAGGGGGGAGGAGGGGAGCTGGCTGCCCGCTGGCATCCTAAGGAGGAGCACGTTTGTAGCTGGCTGGCTGCCTGAGGACGGAGGCCGATTCTTTGCATGAGCGTGCTCACACACACACACGAACATGCACATGCTCACACAATCAGGGTACCATAGTTGACAAAGCCAGACAAAGAAAGGTGACTGCTATTCAGCCCTTCCTATAAAGTACCTTCCATAGTGACTGACGTGTGGCTGTCCTTGGAGTCCTTGGGACCTTTCACTTTGAGTTCCTGCCAAACAGAGGAGAGGAATCACTACCTGGCCTAGCCCCTGAGCCTGCCCATCCCCCATCGTGAGTACAGCAGGAAGGGCTCTGAAACCCAGGGGTGCAAATATGAGCAGAGAGACAAAGACTGATGGGCATGGGCATCGTCTCTGCCTCTGCCTGCAGATTCCCTGTGCCACACCCATGACCTCCAGGAGCCTCCCAGCAGTTGGGTGTAGGCAAGGGGGTGCTCTAGGTATTGGAGAGGACTGTGATAATGGTGCTCCTCAGGCCCATCCCCTAAAGTCCCTCCCTGAAGAGGGCCTTCCAGAAGATGGGTGGTGGCAAGAGCAGGATCCTGAGCCCTGTCCAGGCTTTCCCCAGCAGCAGCCACTACTAAAGGGTCTGCACACAGGGTTTTAGTAGACTAATATCAGGTGTTGCGGCTGATCCTGGGGGCATGAGCAGCTCTTGGGATAAAGAATGAGTGGTCCCGCACACCTGTGCAGGGGGAAGCAGGGAAGTGGTGTACCTAGGGCTGAGTGGCTGAGTTCTACAGGGCAGTCTGACCTACATCCTACCCAGACATATTGGGAGGGACTCACACAGCCCCCAGGCCCACTTGATACTCTCCACTCTGCAGAGCCTGTGCTAGGCATCAGAGAGGAAATGGCAAGGAAGGAAGAGGCGACAGCCCATGGGTCCCATGCAAAGTGACCAGGTAGTGAGTGCTGGAAACAGATTCTAGGGCAGCTTTTTTGATCTGGACTTGTTTTATCTGCCTTTAGAGAAAAAGGTCCAGCTCCAGCCCCTGCCAACGAACCAGTGTGGCCTATAACTGGAGATGTAATGCAATCCAAACTTGGAGGGCTGAGTGTACAAGGGAGCCTCCCAGGGCAGGTGTCAGTGGGAAGGCTGAGTCGAGGTGAGGCCGAGTCGAGGTGAGGCCAAGGTCAGGTACCCAGGTGATATTGCCTGCTCTGCCTGGGAGGGAGGACATGCCCAGGGAACGGGAGCTCCCCTCTTCCTGCTTCTGCCTCAGGCTGTTTCTAGACAGAGAAAACCCCCAGGGACTGAGCCTGGGGTTTGGGGGTGGGGTGGGGAGAAGAGGGGTTACTCAGCTCCTCAAGACTGTGTCTCTGGCTGGCGTCTAGATTCTCAGCTTTAGGGAATTTTTCTGCATGCCCCCCCTCCAGTGCATCCTAGAGGTATGAAATCACTCCTGCTGCAGAGAAGGGCCTAATTGCAGTAATTAAGTGGCAGCGCCACTAGGAAGCAACAGCGCCAATGCATGAGTCAGGGTGAGAAGCCACCTGGCAGCTGGCCATGGGCCTGGCTCTGCCCTTGGAACCTGCAGGCTTTGAGAGGGGCTTAGGGATGAGTGCAGGGGTTCCTGCCGACCACAGAGAATAGGCAGTCTGCCCAGGCTAAGAGGAGACCCCCGACTCTCTGGACCACACGTGACTCTGGGCACCCGGGCAGCCTCGGCAGGGTCTCTCTAAACACAGATCAGGGGAATCCGGTTTGTTCCCTGGAAGGGCTGGGAACCATGAGGGGAAGCACCACTTCCCTGGCCTTTGGACTCCACATGGAGGGACTTCCCTATCCCTTACTCAGTTCTCCTAGGTGGAGGGTGACGCACGTGATCCCTGGGTTTGGGAGAAGAAACTGAGCTCAGCTCTCTTTTCTCTGCTTCTCCAGCAGATGTGTTTAATTGTGGAAGGGAAATGCTAGGAAGTCCAATGTGGCTACAGATCCAAGTCTACATTTTTTCCAATCTGGCTTTTACTAGCAATCAAGCTGACATTTTCACCTCTGTTTTTCCATCCCTTGTGCTGCTTCTAGGTCAACGTCAAACTTGGTTATAACCCATAACTCCAGTAGTTTCATGAAAACTATCAGGCATCTCACCAACTTTTCCAGCATCAGAGTTGAGATGAAAAAGCGAAAGGTCCAGAGGGGCCTGTAAGGCAGGACCTCCAAAACTGCAGGAGCTTCTCTTCCCTGGAACCAGAGGTTCTCTTACCCTGCACTTGGAGCTGGGTGCTGTGACTGCAAGGCCAGTAGCTTGGGGTTGTCACTGAGATCTTTCTGGTTAAAAGGGTGAGATGGGCTGTGCTCCCAAAAGATCCTAGAGCCCCACCCTGCCACTTCCTGGATAGATAGAAGTGTTGACAGCAGATGATGCCACATCTTTGCTCTGCAGAGGAGCATGTAGGGAAGGCTTAGCTGCAGCAGCAGGAACAGGCATATTTCCAGACAGACGGTCTATGGCTCTCTGTGAGATTGCAAGGATCTAAAAAGACCATGTAGTCCAGACTTCCTCAAATCTTCCTGATCATAAAAATTAACCGGGAGGTTTGTTAAAAATAGAGACTCCTGGGCCCCACCTCAAACCTTGTGAATTGAAGCTCCAAGGAAGGTACCCAAAGATCTGCATTTTAAATAGTGTCCCTGGTAGTTCTTATCAAGCAAGTTTGAGATGAGTTGGGGGAATCTAGGTATCTCATTCTACAGAAACAAAGGCCAACAGAAGGGAAGTGACTTGTTCAAGGTCAGCGCAGTGTGGGAAATACTGCCTTTTTTCTTTTATTCTTTTGCCTCCCCTCTTCTAACACAGAATAACCTAAAACAGAAGGACAAAACCAAACCAATTGGTGTTCTTACATTAAGAGGGAAAATGCCAAGTGCAGGAAAGCAAATGTCAGGCTGTTACCCATTACGGGTACCATTTTCCTAACTGGCAAGCAGGAAAGGAGAGACTCAAAGGCTGGAAGGCTCTGGGCAGGCCCCAAAGCCCTGATTCATAGGGGTGGCTGTGCAGGGAACTGCCCACCTCGGAGATCTTCTGGAATTGGTTGTTGGACTGACTGCACTTCTCAGCTGTCTCCAGAGCAACTTTATAGTTATCCACAAACGCTTTGTACACTCCAAGCTGGCTGGCCTGCAGGGAGAAGAGAGAGGAGGGGCAGGAGTGGGTTGGGGGAGAGAGGATTAATGAATGGATGAAAGCTTAACGAGAGCACCTGGAGCTCCCGTAACACTCAGAACCTCTACTTCAGCTCCAAAGGGCTAGCTGGGAACAGAGGGGAAAGGCAGGAGGAATATACTACAGTATCCCTTTGAACTTGACAGTTTCCATGGAAACTGGCTTAGCCAATAAGGTTAAGAAGGGTGTGTTGAGGGTTGCGGGGAGCAGGGCAGGGCCTTTGTTGGCATGCTAGAAATTCAACTCATCAGCAGCTTTTGGCTTTATTTAGCATCAACAAGGTCTCTCAGGGTTTGAAACCCCTCAATGTCTCATACCTCTTTCACATCCTAGAATTAGCTAGAGCAGGGAGAGACAGGGGAGGAGTGGAGTGTGGCCTGCTCAGTGCCCCACTCCCCATGTGGAGTGTGAGGCATGACATTTAAAGGCATAGTCCCCATTTCCATCAGCTTCTAGGTCCCTAACTTCATCTTCTCAACTACCAGGGAGCCAGAGGCCCTGCCTTGCTACACATTTGCATGTCACTAAGGTTTCCATGACTTATGATCACACAGAGCCTGGCTTTCCCTTGGAAGCAGAACAAGTGTCACCATCCTTTTCTGAAAAAGGGGAAACCGAGGCACGTTCACTGAATTCCTCAAATATTTATGGAAAGCTTCTGTGCTGTGCATATGGAAATCTGAATTAAAATTACCATGAGATACTATCGTATACTCATCGATCTAGCCCAAATTTAAAAGTCTAATGATATCAAGAATGTGGGAAAATAGGGACTTTTATAGACTGTCTATAGGAGTATAAATTTGTACAATTCTTTGGAGAGTAATTTGTCAATAACTAATAAAGTTAAAAATATGCACAGTTCAGCCTACTGCTTAGCAAATCCACTTCTACTTACAGAGCTCTGCTGTCTAATACAGGAGCCACTTGCTACACGAGGCTCCTGAGCACCTGAAATACGGCTAGTCCAAAGTAAAATGTGCTGTAAGCGTAAAATACACACTAGATTTCAAAGGCTTCATATGTAAAGGAGAATGTAAATCATCCATTATTTTTTTTTAATATTGATAACATGTTGAAATGATAACATTTTAGATCTATTGGGCTAAATAAAATATAATCTCGAAATTAATTTGACTTGTATATTTTTACTCTTAACTTTTAGATTAGCTAGGTAGCTACTAGAAATTGTTTAATTATAAATATGGCTCACATTATATTTCCACCGGAAAGCGCTGCTCTAGAGAAACTTGCATACCTATGTACCCAAGAAAATGGGAGCGAGGGGATTCACAGCCTCATTCTTTCACTTGTGGAAAGACTAGAAACGGCTGCTCATAAAGAGGGAACCCACACACACACAAACACACACTGCAGATAAAATGAATGAATTAGATCTATATATAGCAACACCAACGAGTTTTAAAACAAATGTTGATTGAATTGCAAAATATATAAAATATGATATGATATGATATATATATATATACTATGTGCATTTAAAAAGTACGTGAAATGCCATAAAAATACATAGATATGTAGTAAAGACACAAACTACAACCTAGAAGGCTACACACCAAATTCACGCCAGTAGCTGCCTCTAGGTTGAATGGAAGAGTAAGAGGAAAGGAAAGGGAGAAACTTCACCTTCATCTGTAATGCTTTATTTTCTCGGTGACAATGTTCTGCTGTATATCTTCAGAGCTTAACATCTGTTCATTCTGGGACGTGAGCACACAGTTGTTTGCTACATTATTCTCTAGATTTTCTGGTCTAAATTTTTTTCAGTGAAGTAGCAAGGAGGTTGAGCTACTGCAGGGGCTTCCTAGGGGCTTCCTTGGGGCTCCCACCAAAGCGCTGGGGAACGTGGGCTGCCCCAGAGCCCTATCTTGGACTGCTCTGCTAAGTGCAGATTCCTTGTGCTCCTCAAGGACCCAAAGAGGTGGGGTGGGGGTCCTGGAGCAGCCTGAAGAAGCTGACAGTGGGGATCAGAAAAACCAGAAGGAAAAGTGAGACCTGAGAGGGAAAAGTGAGAACTGGGATGCTTGTGAAGAAGCCAAGGTCAGAGCCTTGCAGGTCACAGCCCCAGGGAGGCCGGACTTTTCAAAAAGAAAATTCTTGGGGAAGGGGCAAAAAAGGATGGAGTTTGTTTCCTTTTCCAGGGGAATTATGGACCCACTGGGGTTTCACGCTGCAGGGGATGTGCTAGATAGTCCATTCCTAAACCAGGTAAAAATCATTGCTACTCTTCTTCTAGGTATGCACTCTCCTTGGTCTCTTTGTTCCTGTTCCCTTTCCCTCCCATCCCACTGTCTAAGGGAGAAGCAGGAGGTGAACCAGAAGCAGGAGCCTGGAGAAATGGCCCAACTATAGGGGTCATCGGCCATCCCAGGCACTGTTATCTCCAGGGCACCCTCGCTTGTAGAGCCCAAGGCCAGGCCTGCCAGAGCTGTTCACTGGGAAGTGGCTGTTGCTTGGAAACAGCAGCTTGGCACTGGGGTGATCTCATAAAACAAACAGCAGAGATGCTAATTTCCTTCCTTCTGTGATGGGTAATCAAATACCCAGAAACCAGGGGAAAATAAACTGCCTCCAGATGCCTGGCCTGCCCCAGCTCCACCCAGGCCCTCCCGAGCCTATGGCCTCAGGGGCTTCAGACCTCAGTTCATGATGCTGGGGTTGCAGATCCGTGACCAGGCCCATGGAGTTAAGACCAGTGTATCGTGACAACGATAAACTGGGAAAGCCTTTCCACTATGCTCTGCGCTACTTGCCCTCCTGCCCCCAAGATCTGTTCTCTTTTGCCCTCCTGAGGGCTAAAGAGAGACTGCCCCAAGCCAATCAGCTCAGGCTCCTGGGACCAGGCCAGAGAGCTGACTGAGTGATCATCATCCCTGACCTGAGGTGAGCACTCTGGGGCTGCCAGAACCAGAAGCGTGCAGTTCCCTGGCAACAGCACCTTCTAGGGTGCCTCTTCCTAATAATACAAATAATAAATAATAATAATAATAATAATAATAAAAGGAGGAGTAATAATAACAACAACAATAGTAATGATAATGGCTAACTACTGAGTACTTACTAATTTACTATGTTCCAGGCCTTGTTCCAAGCACTTTTTAGCTATTAACTCAGTCCTCACAATGGTCCAATCAGATAAATACTTTTACTATCTTCATTTTTACAGATGAGGAAGCTGAGTCATGGAGAGGTTGGGTAAGTTGCCCAAAGTCACAGGTTTAATCTGTGGCAGAGCTGGGATTCAAACCCAGCTGTGACCTGACTCTAGAAGCTACGCTTGTCCCTATAACACTAGTGGTATCTCAGGACACAGACATCAGGCCCTGTGATGTCTCCCTCAATGCCCTTTCCAAGTTTTCCCTGGTCCCAGTGGTCAAGATTATGGTGTACTCATTCATTCATTTATTCATTAATTCATGTATTAAGCACTGGGCTGGTTCTGGGGGTCTAATGATGAAGTAAATACAGTCTGTCCTCCTGGAGCTTATGGTTTTGGGAAGGCAGGCAGTTACAGTGTTCACTAAGGGAATGAGCATATGGGCTACATTTGAGGGGCTAGAGATGTCTTATTTAAAGAGGTCATTCTTAAGCTGGGAACTGACCAGAAGCCAGACCAGATAGGGAAGGATATTTCAGGCAGGTAGAGCCGCAAGTATAGAGAGGTCAAGAGTGACTGCAGCGTGAACTGAGTACAGAAAATTCAGTGTCAGGGGCCCAGAGGGTGCGAGAGGCAGCAGCCAGAGGCCAAGGGTGAACAGAGACCAGCGTTCAAAGGGTCTCCTAAGCCATTCCTTGGAGCCTGGTCTTCATTCAATGGACAAGGGGGAGCCACTAAAGGGATTTAAGCAGGGTAGAAGCGAGGCCTGGTCAGGAGTCTAGGTGACTCTCCTGCTGCTAGGTAAAGGTGGGAGGCGGAAGGGAAGGCGGGCCTGGAGGCTGGAGCTGCTCGTGAGGTTAGAGGTCCAGGTGAGGAAACCAGAGGTGGTGGAAGGAAGGAGGTGGCAATGAGCAAAGAAGACTCTGAAATGTGGGGGTGAGGGAGGAGGAATGGGGGAGGGGAGGTGCCAAGGGTGAGTCCAAAGGTGTCATGGATGAATGGGAGATGGGATGGTGGCAATATCCACTGAGACAGAGGCAGGAAGAAGAGCAAAGAACTTCAGAGACAATGAGTTCAATTTTGAACATGCCGAGCTTGAGGCCCTGGAAGTATCCAAGCAAGAGTTTTCTCCAGCGTAAGAAAGTAGAGGGCTATCCACTCGGCCAGTTCCATCACTGAAGGGAGGAAGAGAGGTGCTGCTCCCTGCCCCACACCATTCACCCGGAGAACAATGGCCAAGGACTCCCTTCCTACCTGGCAGAAGTTACGGGGGGGGAGAGCTGGATGGGGGACCCTGTAGGTCTGAGCTGGGGGTTCTCCAAGGGACACAGCCAGAGACAGACACAGTTATTAGGGGAGAGGGTGTCACAGGAGCCCTGGGAACTGGAAGACCTCTGAGAATCTTTCCTAACACCAAGTCTCCACATTAATTCTATCCCCTCAGGCTTTTTCCCTCCCCTGCAATGGTGGGAGGGCTGGGCTGAGGGCTTTCTGCTCCAAGGTCCTCAGGAGATCATTAGCTGACACAATCTCCCATCTGACTGCTTCATTTCACAGGCAGCACTGAGGTGCAACGAATGCCCGAGGTCTCAGGTGAGCAGTCCCTGCCTGTCCACCTGGCACATATTGTCCTTTCAGCTGACAGACAGGGGAAACGAAGCCCCAGGGGAGACTTTGTTCCAGCCCTGGAGCCCACTGGTGAAAGAGAAATGGTGCCCTGTCAGGAGTACCTATGCACACAGCCTATCTCCAGCATCTCCAGAACACTCCAGGCTTCACGCGTGAAGCTGGGAATTGAGGCACCAGATCCAAGTTCCCCGTAAAGCAGAGGCCTAGGGTTTCCTCCAGGACTTAGAAAGCTTCGAGGAGACCAGGAGGGCTGGGGCTGACCAGTCCTCACCCAACAGCTCCACTGAGGCCCTGGATAGACTCACCAGCTTCTGGAAGAGGTGGCCCATGGTGACCTGGCTGTCCCATTGCTGCACCTTGGGGCAGAGGTTGTCATAGAACTCTTTGTGGATCTCGTATATGTCCTGGATCTTGTAGAAGATGGTCTCGATCTGCTGGATGGTCAGCACAGGCTGGGAGGTGGTGGCTGTGGCCTTCAGGGGTTTCATGGGCTGGGAAAGAGGAAGAAAAAATTAGAAGAGGTGAACGGCAAAGAAACCAGAGTCTCGGCAGGCCCAGGGCACTGGTTAGCCCTTCCTGCTGCCTGAGTTCTGCATAGACAAGGCCACAGAAAACAGGGCAGCTGAGGTGTGGTTTGCACCAAGAAGCTGTTGTCACAGGCCCAACAAGCCACGTGCAACTGCAAAGAGAGGGAAGTTGATAGCCAGAGCCTGGTCCAACAGCCCTGCCAGATCTAAGGGGTGATACCAGAACACATCTTCGCTACTCCTCATACCCTGAGGAGTCCCTAGCCTCCAGCCTGCACAGAGCTCGCTTTTTAGTTTAATGAGATCCATGTCTTTCTTCCACAATGGCCTCATGCTCTCAGTCATAGCTCTCTTGTCACACTTTAGTGAAAGGGAGGGTTGACCGGGAACCCCTTTAGCTCTTTCCTTCCAAGAAACAGAACACGATTCTAGGACTTGGGGTAGAATCTTGGAGAGATCTAAGACCAATCTCAGATGTACTACTTCAAGGTTCCATCACTTCAGATCACTTAGTATAGAGAGCGCAAACAGGTGGCACACATGCCACTGTCTTACTTCCCGTACCCATGGCAGACATTGCTAAGTGATCACAATGACCCTTCTCACTGAGCCTGGCTGTAGTCTCAGACTCTTTCTCAATGCCAAGGTTGACATGCAAGATGAAACCCATCTGTCATCTCTGTTGTCTACACCAAGATGCTCCATGGCCTGCAGGTGGAGAGGGTGAGTTGACAGACAATGACTCGGAACTATCCCCCAATACTGGATGGGAGCTAAAGCCATCACCTTCACGCCCAACAATGGGTCATGTGATAATGGGGCACGGGTGCATTTTCTTCAGTAGGATTTTCTGTATATTCTAAATTGCTTACAATGAGCAAACACTAATTTTATTTATTTATTTCTCTGCTTAATTTTATTTTTTAATTTCAAAAATTAAAAAAAATTTTCAAATTACAGTTGACATTTAATATCATATTCGTTTCAGGTGTACAGCATAGTGGTTAGAGTAAACACTAATTTTATAATCAGGGGAAAAAAGGTATTAAAATTCGTAGCTGAAACAACAACAAAAACTGATACTGAAGGACAAAGAGCCTCTCTTTGAATGACCTTCCTTCAGCCCCAAAGCCCTCAGAATGCCCAGACTGCACTGCACTCCAAGAGCCTTCCAGGAGGCAGGGTCTGGAAACCTACCACGACAAGAAAGTAAGGGGGAAAAGGGCCCATTTACCTGGAGGAGAGAAGCCTGAGTCAGACATAGTCAATGTGATGAAGGGCTGTGGGTAAAGAGGCTTTTGACTTAGTCTGGGTCACTCTGGAGACTCAGGAGTAGCAAGAAGAAGTTATAGGGGCAGGTGTGGACCCACTAGAGCTGTCTCCCACTGTGTCATAGAATTAGGTAGTGAGCTTTCTGACAAGAGAAGAATTCTAATGGAATGGATGACTCAGTGCTGAACTGGAGGGAACATCTATACCAAGAGAGATCAAAGTTATTGCTGGCTCACTCTGAGAGGTGACCGCCAGCTTGAGCCAACCATATAGCAGCCAAACTCCCAGCCAAGTTTCACTCCATACTCTCATTTGTCTCATTCTGATGGTGGCAGAGCCCAAGTTTGTCCACCAGAGTAAGTCCCATCTACTCAAATACCCAAACAATGCTCCGGCTTCTGGCTCCCTCATCCTCCCAGGTTTAAAAAGTCCAGACACATGATAAAGGGAGGAAAAAGTAGACGTCCTCCTTCGGACCTTCTCAGCTCTGGAAACAACAAACTCTCAATGTCTAGCCCTTTGCTAAGGAAGTAGGATGGGGTTCAATCTGGTGCGGGCCAGACAGTGTGAGTTTGAGTCCCAACTCTGTCATCTAATGGCTGTGGGCAAGTCATTTAGCATCTCTGGGCCTTAGCAGTCTCATTTGTAAATCTGGGATATTACCGTCTCAAGAATACTGGCAGGAAAATCAAAAGCTATAACTCATATAATATATTGAGTATGTGCCTGGTACATAGAAGGCAATCAATAAACGTTAGCTGCTACTATTCACTATTCACCCCACAAATAATGGACCAAGTTCCTAATGTGAGGCCAGACTGAGGTGGGGGCTTTGGAGGGTGCTATTCTGTGATTCACAAATCACTGTCCCCATGGAGCCTCCCACCTATGAGGGGGGAGAGACAAAACACGAGGAAACAACTGAACAGAGAATCACAGACATGCAATGAGGGAAGAAGGGGATGTCCTAAGACAGGTGCTGAAGGATGGCTTCTCCACAAAGGGTATATTTACTCTGAAATGGAAGCGCGGGGGCAAAGGGGTCCGTATTCCGGACAAACTTCCTCAATGCCCAGTCTTGAGGCAGGAACAGGCTTGGTGAGAGAGAGGAGCTGGAAAAAGCCTGTGTACAGGGGGCTAGGGGAAGGACAGGAACTTAAAGCAGGGCTGGAGGGGTGGGCAGTGGCCAGATCATGCAGGAGGAGGAATGCAGCTTTTCAGCCCAAGCAATGAATGACCTGGCTTTCCCTGGAAGGATTTAAGCAGGGGAATGACGGGGTCCAGTTTTCTTTTCAGGAGATTATTTTTATGATTCATTATCCTAGCTCTGGAGACTGTTATAATCTCTTTGGGTAAACTGGACCAATATAAATGAAACAACTTAGTGGACAAAGCAAGATAGTGTACTACTCGACTTGAACTGTAAATATCAACCAAATGGACGTGAGGTTGTGCTGATACAACATGGAGGGCTTCGCAAAAGAGGTGACAGGAGCAGGCCTTGAAGGTTGGGAAGATCTGAGCAGATGAAGGGGTAGGACCTGGATAAGCATGCTTGGCAGGGAAACAAGGAGCCAGGAGCAAGGGAATACTGTTCTCCCAACCCCAGGTGGGTGGCTACACTCAGCTGCACGGCCCCAGGGCTTCGTGAAGGATACAGAGCTGGCCCACAGGATTACTGTTGGAGTTTATCCTTTTTACCTCTACCCAGGAGCCAGCGGAGGGTCCAACTCACCACAGAGTCCCAGAACCACTAATCCCTCTCCCTGCTGCTGAGGGAATAAAGGAAAGAGGGAGAGAACAGTCCTCGGAAGGCACAGGAGTCAGGATTTCTCAGAAAAAGATGGAGAAGCGCCCATGTGCCGCCTACGCAAGGACAAGACACAACAGCTCTGCTTCCTCCTAAACTTCCCACTCTGTCTACAAAAGGGGAAGAAATGGGTGCTCACTCACGGCGGGTCACATGGACAGGGCCTGCACTTGAATGTCAGATGGTTCTCAGGACAAGGTTGGGGATCTTGGATCTCAGCCCTGGTTTCACTTAGGGGGAGAGGAAAGCACTGGGTGTGTGTTCCTGGCTGGCAGTTATTTTTATCTGGTGAACCTCGAATACAGATCTCAGGTGGTTCGAGTGAAAGGCACAGGTAACCCAATACTGCGCTTCGACCCAGCACGCTCCTCCGTCAAAGTGCCGGCCAGCAGTTCCCTTCTCCCTCCTCTAGCAATCCTGCTGCAGAGGGTGGGAGCTTCGTGTCATCAGGGGAGGAATAGAGAGGATCCTGAGGGACCTCAGAGCCGACCCTGGCACTTGATTCCCCATGAAGCGCTTCTCAGGAAGACAGGCTAGGAGGGTTCTGACTCCCAGTGGAACTTCACATCACCATTTGTCTCCTCTGTCCCTCAGTAACTTGCCTTGCAAAACGGGAAAGAAATTGGCCCACTTCCTCCACCTCCTATCCCAGAAGGCCTGGAGGCTGCCGGCAAGGCCTGTTTACTATCACCTAGTCATCCTCCTCCTCCCTGGGGCCCAGGCAGGAGGGCGTCATTAACCTATTTCACAGATAAGGAACCTGAGAGCAGTGGGCCCAGGAACTACAAAGCAAACTGCCAGAATGAGAGTCTAAGAGAGGAGGCCAGTAGTGCCTGGTGGGGAGGTACTGTGGGAGATGGTGCAGCCAGATGCAGAATCCAGCTCATTACCCAGAGTCAGGGAGATGCAGAATTACATGCATTTGGTTTGTCTCCCTTCCTTCACCCCCCACCTCAGCCCAGGCTTCCAGACCTATTTCACTTATAATCTGAGCCCACCAGGAACCTGGAGGGTTCCAGAAGATGACTAAACCTTGCCCAACCAACAATCCAGTGGGGCGGGAACAGAGGGTCCCGTGTGGTATCGCTGTCTGTGCTGGTGTGTGCACACAGCCTTAGGTACACACACAGAGTCATTTGCATATCAGGAAGTGTTAAGCTGAGAACAGTCAAACACTTTAGGAGAATAGCTGTGGGAATGGGGGTGGAGTGATAAGAAGGAGATCAGGGCGTGGGAGGAGGAGAGAGCTTGGAGAGGACATATTTTCTTCTCCTCTGAGCCCCTTTGTCAGATCACCCCCAAAAGCAAAGGGCTTAGCTACAGGGTATCTGAGAAAGGAAGGCTCCCAGCTCAAGGAGGAGGAGGGAAGGCTAGATTCCTTATCTCTGAGGCTTATCTGAAGCAGTGGCTGTGCAGGATCCTGCCCCCTCTTCCTGGAGCCCTTCGGCCACAGACCAGGCCTCGCTGGTCCCT